AAACAGTTTTAAACTTCTTGGATGTGATAGTGGTACACTGATTATATGTGATAGTATGATTTTGTTCTTAGGTGATACATACTTGAACTTTTTGGAGCTGAAGTGTTCATGAGGTCTGTGGTTTTCTAATAGATCAGCCAAAAACCAAAACATGAAAACAGGAACTACCCCAATATAAATAGAGGAAATCAGGCAAAATGTAATAATTCATGGATTTGGGTGAAGTCTATATAAGTATATGGTGCACTGTTCTGTAGGTTGAAATACTTCAAAATAAAAATTGAGAGAAGTAAGATGTCTATATAAAGTCAACAGAGTTATTTTACATAATTTTTATTAGACATCTAACATTAGTGGTTCTGCCTATGGGCGGCACTTTGGAAAGAGTTGCCAACATGGTGGAATGATAGTATTGCGGTCATTATGTTACATAAGAGATACTATTATAATTTACTGATTTCTTCTATAGCAGCGGTTCTCAACCTGTGGGTCGCAACCCCTTTGGGGGTCGAACGACCCTTTCACCATCAGAAAACAAAAAGATATTTACATTACGATTCATAACAGTAGCAAAATTAGAATTATAGAGTAGCAACGAAAATAATTTTATGGTTCGGGATCACTACAACACGAGGAACTGTATTAAGGGGTCGTGGCATTAGGAAGGTTGAGAACCGCTGGTCTATAATATAATGATTGAGCTGCTATCAAAACTATGTATGATATTGGTGTGTCTTTTCGTATTTATTCTTTTTACCCTTCCCACCTCCAGGACCACAGAATGTTATTAATTGTTCATAGTGTTGTTTACTTGTGTTTTCTCATGTAAATTATGTTTAACTGTAAAATGTTTAAACTTTTCTCATATACCAACCACTGTTTTAGGTGATAAAGTAGAAGAGGAATACATGATATGGTTCCTATGCTCAAGAAATGCAGACTTTAATATTAATAATAATATTTGGGCATTTAAGCCAACTGAAACACAGATGTTAGCTGTGCTAACAATAATCATAATAATTCTTATTTTGTAGCGAAGTAAACAAAGATACAGAAAGATTAAGTGACTTACCCCAAATGAAATAGATAGGAAGGGGCAGAACTCAGACTTGAACCCTGGCCAACTATTGGGTTGTCGGAAAAGTCATGACACATTTTTGCGACAAAAAACATAGAAAAAATACGTCGTGACTTTTCCGACAACCCAATAACTGGGTTCTTAGTCCATGCCCTGAAATGCTAAGGAAACGGTTAATTTCGCTTGGGGCCTGGAGGCATTTGGGAAAGGTTCCAGACCTTTGAAATTTCGCCGTGTCTTCAAAGGACGTATAGGATTTTGCCAGATGATGGTGAGGGAGAGCATCATAGGCAGATGAACAACAAATACTGGTTAAAGTGTTTGGAAATGGCAAATAATTCAATGTGGCTAAATCATAAAAGTAGCAGGAGGTTTTTTTTTTTTTTTTTTTTTAGCTGAGCCATCCTGCCACCTGTTGGCAGCTCAGCTCGGGCCGGGACTCGAACCGCTGTTGCTCAGAGCTCACACTCTTGAGCGAGCTCTTAACCAACTGAGCCACTCGGCCAGCCCAAAAGTAGCAGGAGGTGAAACAGAAAGGTGAGTTAGGGCCATATTATGAAGGGCCATCCTTGTGGAAGTTTGAACTTTATTTGTAGATAATGAGCAGCCAGTGAAGGATTTCAAACGCATTTTAAAAACTGTGATAGCAGTGTGGAGGGTGGATTGAAGACAGGGTTATCCGTAAGGAGGTACTGATTTCATCTAGGAATTAGGATTGCCTGAACTAGGCCAAGGACATGATGGAAGCAAGAGACGTGGATGCGGCCAGCAGAGTGTAGTTTGGGTGTGGGAAGGAAGAGAGCATGAAGACCCAAACAACCTAAGGCTCTGGTTGCATTGACTCAATGGGTGGTGATGCTGGGAATTGATGTGAGAAGGAGAAGGGCAGGAGCAGTGTGGTCAGGGAAATATTGTAGTTTGGAATAGGTTGAGTTTCCAGTATTGGTTGAACTTGGAGGTTGAAATTCCAAGTTGCTGTTCTGTCTAGTTGGTGTTGGTGTTACTGAGTCCACCACGGCAAGATGATGTTCCTGAGCCAGTTTTTTTAGAGCACTCAAGTTCACATTTGTCACATATGTTTTCAGTTACTTCTTACATTAGAATAAATTCTGAAATAGTCAGTTGTAGCATGTTTGGTGATAAAGTAGATTTTATCCATGAATTATAGATTCACAAGTGGGTGAAAAAGACATTTACATGCATTCAAGTCTGATGTAATTGAACTGACGGTATCATGGAGTTAACAATTAAACCTGATTGAACTACTAATGTAATTTTAAATCCTATAGCCTGGGAGCTTTCCCCAAGGTATACCTTTTTTTAGTTTTTTTGCTGTAGGTGAAAGAAAAGCATATTTAATGGTTCTTAACATTGTGTATGTGTGTTTTGTCCTTGCATATGAAAATTTATAGCATTTAAAGTCATATATATATATATATATATATATATGTGTGTGTGTATACACGATAAGCATTAGAATGCAAAAGTGCGCCATTGCAAAAAAGAATGACTACTTCTTAAAGTGATTTGTTGATAATTCATAGTCATAAAAATGAAAGATAGCAAAAGTCGGGCTAGATCTCAGCAGGGCTGTTCCTGGCAAAGTGTGTGTTATTATACTCGTGGGTTGGCTTGAATTATTTGGTGCCTTCCTGTTGGTGGAGAAAAGGATTATGCTTTGCAGAAGTCAGGGGAGGAAGTGCAGAGGAACAAAAAAAATACCAAATGGCAGCTTAGATCAATCTTAATTTTTCATAGCTTGGCCTTCTCTAAAGTCACATTTAGCAGGAACATTAATTAGATTTCAGTGCCCCACTGAGTTTTAAAATTAAACTTATTTCTGGAACCATCTGCAACATTTTATCACTAATAATATAATGAAGAATATGCTTAGTCTTTTGAAAAATGGGAATTATAACAGAATATCTTTTGCTCATGAGTGATCATGTTTTATTATGAAAAACCCATCAAAATTTTTATTAAGAGTTAAGAAGTAATTAAAGAGTTTAAAGAATATGCCTAAAAATCCTGTAAAAATACTCTTATTGGTGAGAATCTTTTCCTAGTTCAGAATTTTCTTTGGGGTTTTATGCCTTTTTTAAACCTGAAAATGTTGATGGTGGGCATATTGCCATCTGTCTGTTTAAGGCAGGATTGAAGACAGTCAGTAAGGAGCTACTGCTTTCATCCAGGAATATGTTTGTCTGAACTATGGTAGGGACAGGATGGAAGCAAGAAACGAAAGATAACGGGGCTAAGAGTGCAGGTCCTGAAGTCAGCCTGCCCGCCGTTGAACCCCTCTTCAAACCTGAATTTAATAGACAGGAGTTTGGACAAGTCGCCTGACCCTTTGTGCCTCTGTTTCCTACATGGGAATGACTGTACTTACCTTATAGGTGTAGTGAGCATACATTTTGAGCATAAAATGTGTCCTCAGAACAATTTCCTCTGTGGTCTTCCATTTCCTTTGTTTTTTAGTCATATGCTTGTTACACTTACAGAGGCCTCCAGAAAAGAAAATAGCAGAATCTCAGCTCACTTAGAAGAAAACATTTTGCTCTGTTTTGTTCTCATGAAAATGAAATAATTAACTAGGTTCCCCCTCTCCCCCACTCTGTGCCCAGCACTGTTCTGGGCAGTGGGGAAAGAGCAAACACCCCAGCCTTCCTGGAGCAGAGTAGTTAGGGGAGAACGTGGGTTAGGTGTGCAGCAGCAGTGGGTGTCCTGGTCCTGAACCCCAGAAAGAGACAGACTTACTCACCTGGTCACAGCAGAGGTCACCACAGACTCTTGGCTTGGTGGGGGAGGGGGGGTTTTCTTGCTTGAAAGAATGGAGTATAAATGTGCTTTCTGAGAGTTGTTGGGCCCCTGAGAAAAGGGACCAAGGGCTGTGCATCCAGTTCTTAATCTAAATTTACTAATCATGTAAGTCATTCTCCTACCGTAGAGGTGAGTAAGAGATTGGACAGCAGGCCCAGTTCCTTAGGAAAACAATATTCTTATTTTGGCAACCAAGGAAGTGAGGAACAAGCATTCTCTGTACCACCTTCCCCCTTCTCCAGCTTTGCCCCAAATCCCAGTTTAGGGTGACATACAAGACAGTGTTTTCAGCCTCATGTGATGCTGTCCTTTTTAGCTCCTTACAGTGCTGAATTACCCCCAGAACTACATCTCCTGATGCTTCTTAGAATAGTCTTAACGACATTGCACTTAGTAGAAAGAAGTCCTGATAACCCTTCAGTTCTTCACGTAGGGCTCATCTTGTCTGACGATCTTTGGTGGGTTTGATTCCCCTTTCTGTTCCTGTGTCGCACCTGTCACAGTGCTGTGTGTGTATCTATCTCCACATCAGTCGTCCTTAGCAAACGGTGAACTTCCTTTTTAGGGCAGCAACTGTTAACTTATTTTTGTACAGTTTTTCACTAGCATAGTGCCAATTATATACTAACCATGCCACAAATCAATAAATACCCAGTTCTCCTTTAAAAAACCAACTCTGTCACTGAAAACATTAAGATGCTAGAATTCAGTAAAATGTGGGGGGAAAAATGGAATTTTGAAATTACGTTTTTATTGCTTCATAAAAGATATGTCAAAATATTTTAAAGTTTCTTTTTGGCTTAAATTTGTAGAATACACAGGGTTCTCAGTGATTAGTTTCAGCATGTTGGAAAATTGAAACAATTCTTTCTCTTTACCTATCCCAGTGGAGCACCTCCTGTGTATCTTAACTTTAGCGCTGGTATACTATTGATACAAATGTAAAATTATCAAACTTTTCAAAAGTTAGATAGGATATTTTCTAATATAGCATAACTTTTTAACAGTGCTTTTTTTAGCAGCATTTTCTTTGACATTTTTTGTAATTTGTAAGTAAAGAAGCCTTGAACAAATAGTAACAATGATTTCAATTTTATTTCAGCAAAAGCACCTGGAAATTGAAAGAACTACTAAATGGTTGAAAATGCTAAAAGGATGGGAAAAATATAAGAACACTGAAAAGGTAATTAAAAATAATGTTACTTCCTGATGAAACTATGTAAGTTCAATGTGGCTTTTCTCAGTAAAAGTTTCTTTTTCATTATGAGTATTTATTCATATTTAAAAAAAAACTTTTTTAGTTTAATTTAGTGCAATGTCTCAAATCAGGAGCCTTTCTGTTGTAACAGAATGCCCATTTCGAGCTGGTTTCAGCAATTAGGAGGATGTATTGGGAGTCCAGAGGTGGGATGGGCCTCAGGAGTCATGTGATTCAGCTGCTCAGCCACGTTGCCTGTGACTTAGTTTGTTTCCTCCTCTGTCCTCTGCCTTCTGTTGTGTCAGCTTCACCTTGAAGTTGGCCTTTGGGATCAAAATCAGTGCAGGAGTTCCAGGCTTCACACCCACATGCTCAGAAAGAGAAGGCTGGCTTTTGAAACCGTTTTCTGAAGCAAGAGCTATCTCTTTTTCCAGAAGCTTCTAGCAAACCTCCCCTTAAATCTTGCCCTGCATTGAGTTTGTGCTATTTTAAACGAATTAGAAAAATATACATCTATTAACATCACTGCCAATCTCATCAGAAAAGTCTTTAAATACCGGTTAACTGTGAAGTTCATGATGGTGGAAGTTTTCCAAAATTCTAATTTTTGCTTGAAAGGTCAAATGTTATTAGTGGCACCAAATGTTATCAGTTATTTTCTTAAAGTGACAGGCTTACTTCATTTACTTTTGAGAAAATGTTAAATGCCCAAATCTGAACAATTTATAGTTGGTTAGTCGGTTGTTCTTTCAAGTAATAAGGTGTTCCACAAAAAAAGTGACTGGTTCAGATCACGAGTCAGACAGTTTCCTAAGTGCTTTCCATGAGGCTGGAGTACGCAGCCAAATGCTCTGTGCACACCTCCCAGGCCATCTCAGAATAGTAGTAAGACGTGGAGTCAGGAGTAGAGATTTCCTAAAGTTAATACTTTCTGCTTCATCTGAAGTAAACTGACGGGTTTAAACTGTGAGTGAGGGATACAAGAGCACTAGCACGGGACTGTCAAGGCATGTGTCAGGGTGCCGGCAGTGTTACGGCCACTGCTTCCTGCTGTCAGTACAAAAGTCACCATCGTGAAAAGGCAGCTGACATCTCAGTGTTGTTATGAGAGCAGCTGTGACCTCATGGACCATGCTGTGAGAACTGCAGACTTCTAAGCCTTGGCTTCCTCATCTGTAAAATGGAGATAATCATACCCATTTTGAAGGGATGGAGAGTGAATGACTAAATGCACAGAGAGCACTCAACACGCACCTTGCAGATAGCAAGCGTTCAGTAAATGTTAGCTATTGCTGTTAGTTATTTTATTTTATTTTTTTAAAGATATTTTTATTGGGGAATTGGGGAAGGGGAACAGCCAAGTTGTTGTCCTTCAATCTTAGTTGTGGAGGGCGCAGGTAGATCAGCTCCAAGTCCAGTCGTCATCTGGCCGCCCGTTGGCAGCTCGTGACCACTCAGCTCAAGGTGCTGTGTTCAACCTTAGTTGTGGGGGGCGCAGCCCACCATCCCATACAGGAGTCTAACCAGAAACTTTGTTGCTAAGAGCACACGCCCTAACCACTGAGCCATCCGGATGCCCGTAGGCAGCTCAGGGCAGCTCAGCTCAAGGTGCCGAGTTCAATCTTAGTTGCAGGTGGGCATAGCCCACCATCCCATGCAGGAGTTGAACCGGCAACCTTGTTAGGAGCATGTGCTCTCACCAGCTGAGCCATCCTGCCACCTGTTGGCAGCTCAGCGGCAACTCAGCTCAGGCGCAGCTCACTGGCCCATGTGGGAATCGAACCGGCAATCCTGTTGCTCAGAGCTCGCGCTCTTAACCAACTGAGACATTTGGCCAGCCCTGTTAGTTTTTTGAAGGAAGGTTGGACAATAAAAAATATTAAGGAAAAAAAAGAAGCCTTCCATAGTCCTACAGCGAAACACAACTGAATTAACTGTTAGGATTTTTGTCTATTTTGTTTATTTTGTTACACTTTTTTTCCTATGTAACATATATGTTTTTCCTTTTTTGCATAGATATATAAACAAGAATTCCAAGGAAAGAAATCAGTTCTTTAGATTCTAATGGTTATTACATAGAAGTTGTCTGACCTAGGGTTAAGCAACAGATGCTGGAGCCAGACTGTTTAAACCCCGTCTCTGCTACTTTACTAGCGGCGCAACCTGGGGGAAGGTATTTTACCTTTTTCTGACTTAGTTTGCTCATCTGTAAAATGGGGATAATAATAGCACCTACCTTTCAGAGTTGTTTTGGGGATTAAATGTTAATTCATGTAAAGCACATAGAATAGTGCTTGACCCTTAGTATGCAGTCAGTAAGTGTTTCTTTTTATTACAGGAGAAAAGGGCTCTCCTGTTAAATAAAGTTGGGGAAATCAGAGCTAATAATATAGTTCAGCAAGGTTTCTTTACTACAGGAGTCCTGAGAGTCTTTAACATTATATTTAACATTATAACACGTGGTGGCAATTGTTAAGAGGGACCCTAAATTGCGTGACATTTATATTAAATATTTTTGTCACAGGGTATCTCATAAGACTCATGCCACTTTTCTTTTTGAGTATCCTAAGTATCCTTATTTTAAGTCTGTTAGGTTCTTATTTTATTTTCATCAGGAATGAATTGATTTTTTTGTTGCCAATTTTATTATCTGTGTTTTAGCATTAGGTTGGAAGTCAAGATGTTTTTAAGAGGAATCAGTTCAAAGTAGAACATTAGTTACACACCTGTGCTTTTGTTTAATATTTTGCCGTCTCTCAGGTTGGCCTGAAGTTGACAAGTACTTTACCTTGTGTCTTTGTGGAAAGATTGCTCAAGTGGTAATTACAGGATAAATTGTAGTGCATTGCACCTACGCTTTAATCTCACATTCAGTGTAATAAAATATTTGTAGAGTTATGTGGCTTTATGTTCTCGTCTAGTACACATATCTCTATGATAGCATGGAAGCCTCTGTAAAATGAGCCATTCTACTAAGCTATTATCCTGTACAGCAGCATGGGCTAATGTAGTTCCCGGTAACAGAGATTTTTACAGAACTATTTCTTTGATGTATAATTTTAAAACACTTTCCCACAACTATAATGCTAGAATTATTAGATATATGGTCCAATTTGGTGTGAAACAGAAAGCACCTTCTCAAAGAATTGCTGCTCTCAAATCATACCTAATATTAAATTGCATTGAAGTAAAAAAGTAGCACACATTTTTCTTCTCTTCCAGAAGGAGGAGGTATAAGTTTTCTCTCCACAGATTTCATACTCACGTAGTAATAATACGAACACATTTCTAGAAATAAAAATATAGTCCTCGTAGAGAATATTTGGATTTTTAGAATACAAACTTTAATGACATAAAGTTTCCATGAAGGCTGTTTGTGTCACCTGTGTGTGCTCACAGTGACTGCCCCCTATGGACGGTAGTAGTGCATTTTAAAAACATAGTCAATTAGGGCCGGCCGAGTGGCGCGATGGTTGAGAACTCGCTTGGGATGCCAGAGGGCCCCGGTTCGGATCCCACATATGAGGGCCAGTGAACGCTGCCCTCCACAGCTGGCATGCTGGGCGGCAGCTCGACCTGGAGCTGGGCTGCCGTGGGTCGCTGGCGACGGCGTGGGCTGCAGCCCCTGTGGCAGTGGATTGCCATGGGCTACCGTGTGTAGCCAGCAGCCAGCGTGAGCGGCCAGCCGCCGCAGTGAGCGGCCGTCCAGAAGCCGGCGGCTGATCTGCCTCTCCAGGGAAGAGCGCAATGATGGTGCCAACTTGGGCAAGTGAAGCAACATCCTCCACAGCTAGATTGAAGAGCAAAACGACAGCAACTTGTCTGTTCCCCTTCCCAATCCCCCAGCACTGTTCCCATCCCCCCAATTCCCCAATTAAAAAAAAAAAATTTAAAACATAGTCAATTAGATGAAGTTATCTCTGTGAAGTGGAGACCATTATCATTTAACTAGTCATGATGTAATTGTGTTTAAGCCAGGTCACAGCAAAGTACCTACTACAGAAACATCTAGTTTTTTCTTGGTCAAATAGCTGAATGTGCTCATATTCACCAACATTTTATTTTACTACCAGGAAATGGAGGCACCACAGTTAGAAATAAAATTTCCAAGGTCACCCAGCTTAGTGACAAACAGGAGATCCTATGTCCAGACTCTAGGGCTTATACCATACCTTTTATGCTCGCCTTCCCTTTTGTTGTTTGTCAGTAAGGGGTCAGAGGGAGACAGAATGGCAGCTAGAAGAAGCAGGAGGGCCTGTGGATGGCTTAGAACTTTGTCAGATCCAACTCGGGAGTCTCGTGCCCATTTGGAGGCAGAGACGAAGAAGCCAGTGGAGAAGGGACGATGAAGGAAAATGGGGAGGCAGTGAGGAGCGAGCAGCAGCCCCTCCGAGTTCCGTGGCGTACGCTGCAGGGGGGAAGGTCCCACCGAGCTGAGCCAGGCTCACTGGGCTGACATGTTTATTCGCTGGCAGCCCTGATGACATGGACTAGCCCACTGACCACTGTTTCAGAATCACTCAGGTTTGAAAGAGGTATTGCAAACATTGGGTTTGTTCATGGAATTCTTTTTTTATTTTAGCTGATGGATTTTTAAATGTACCTATGTGACTGAAATAGATTGCTTGATTTTATCAGCAAGTGAACAAAGATACTGGAGCCAAAGGTAGATTCCAGGCCACCTTTTTAATTTTTTTCTTAAAGATTTTATCTATCATATTGATAAAATTATGACAGAATTTTAAAGGTAATACTTTTTAAATTGGAATATGAAAATGATATTAAAATCCAACATATAGTAGTTCTATAACATGGTTGTTAAGACCTTGGTCTCTGAGGTCAGACTATCTGAATTTCACTTCTTCCATATAGTTCATTGGTTGTATGACTTGGAGCTCATTAGTTAACCTTTCTACATCTTAATTTTCTCATCCGTAACATAGGGATGATGATAATAGTACTGACCTTTTTAGAAAGGTGATATTACACAGGATAAATTCATCTAGAAACAGATATGTCGGCTCCTATAACCAGAAAAATGTTAGCGTAGCTGTTAGTAACATTGTCACTACATTTAATTCATCATTATTACCTTCACCCTCATCCCCACTTTCATTGCCCCTTCCTGGCAAATCCCTACATAGCCTTCAGTATTCAGTTTATTATCGTCTTCTCTGAAGGAAATCTTTCCTGTCATGCTGAACTCACTTCTTCCTTCCTCTATCATAGGATCTCTAATACAGTCTCAGGATGAGAGTTACTGTGTTGGACCAATAAACAGTGACCACTACAGCAGACTCACCCCTCACTCCAACACCTTTATCCCTCAGTGTTTTCTGGTTCCCCATGGAAAGCCACATAGGGGCTAACCGCCCCCTGATGTCACTCCTGCAGACCTGGACAGTGTAGTGCCTACCATTCTCCTTCCACCACCCTGGCCTGCCTCTAGGGAGTCTATCTCCATCACCACTTCTCCATCAGGCTGGGATGCTCAGCTCTGACAGCAGTTAGTGTATGGGACTTTAATAAAGGGTTATCTGTTTATGCTGTAAGTGTCTGCTTATATATGTATTTTTCCCACTACACTATGAGCTCCACAGAATTTTTTCACGTTTGTAACCATAGTACCTAATAGGTGTTGGCCACAAAGTAGACAGTCATTGCAAAAGTTTCTTTCTAGAATGAGTGAATGAATGAATGATGTTCATTTAGGAGTTGGGGCAACCAACTATCTTCTACTGATAAATTCTGCTGCTTTGATAAAGCTGTGCTCTCCAGGAGGAAGTGTGTTTGGCAGAAGGTAGGAGTAAGAAGATGGAAGTCTTCGACCTTAGCAAGCCACTTCTCTGTACCTTGGTTTTCTGAGTTGTTATAGAAAATAGGACGCACTGCTTTGTCAATTGAAAGATTCTTGACAAACGTAAACTGGACTGCTCTTCTGGAGAATAAGCAAATTTTATTATAACTGTTGTGCTTTGTTATAATTCTTACTTTGTTTTACAAAATTTTTATGATAGTTGAAAATTTGTGAGAAAAGATATATAACCCTAATAAGTTAGCCTGTCATGTAACAGCAAGTATTTGAAAAACAATAAGCAGAACTTAAATACTTATTTTAGGGTTTCATAATTTAATTATTTTCTTCTATATGTACCTTTGTGTACATGTTTCATTTCATTACCTCTCACAGCTTGAATTCCAGTTTCATCCTTTTTATATTCTTTTACGTTTTAGATACAGTTTTATTATCATGATTTTAATGCTTTTTGCTCTTGAATTTCCTTAATATTTTCCTGTTCATATGTTTTAGTAAGTCCAATTGATCAGAACAATGGATACCATATAAACCATGATCTTGGAAAGATAGTCTTTGTTTTTTATAAAATGTAGAGTCAGTATATTTTACTAACCAATAACATCTTATGTGTGGCTTTTGACAAGTTATTCAGTTGCTCTGTGATGCACTTTCAATATCTATAAAATTGGGATAATAACATCTCATGGAGTTGTTGATATGATTAAATGAGATAAATATCTGTAAACAGCTTAAAGTAGATTCCTGCACATAGTAAATGCTCTGTAAAAGTCGATTTTAACTGTTACTATTGCTAATGATAGTGACAATCTATCAATGTTTCTTTTTCAGCCTTTTCTATATGTGCCTAATCTTTCATTTTAGCCCTGGAGTAGCACTGGGACCATTAATTTTTTATTTCTCCCTGAAATTTCTCTGTTATTTCTTCCCAAATAATCATGGCAATCTGATGAGTGTTTTTACCTTAAACCTAAAGTAAACTTTAGGATAAATAATAGACAGTAATTGATGTACAATTGTTGAGTGCAGAATTGAATAAAAATAATAAAGTAATGTAAAAAGTCTTTCCAAGTAATATAGTTTAACAAATACATGTTAGAGCTCTTGTTTTACTCATTGAAAAATCTCAGTTTAATGGGGAGTCAAGTCCATCAAAGTTAATCTGTTTACCTGCCATCATATTCTACTTGACTATTAAAATTTCACTTTTCACATTTGCCATCATTTCTACACTTCCTGATATTCATATCAGATGCTTACAGTATAGCACCTTCAGTCTAGAAATTTAAGAGATAATTTGAAGTTACTTTTAGTGGTTGATATCCCTTTTAAAAGTACAGTTTATTATAATTTTGATGTGAATATAGATGCAAAACTTTCTTTAGGAAATAAGTCTTTTGCTTTTTTACTATACTCAGTTTGCAATTAATGGTGGTAAATGTTTAGTACATGGGAAATGTTGTAGGGCGCAGAGTCTGGTTTACACAAAGCCTTTCTGTATTTATTCTTCCAGTTAGAGCTACTGCGGGAGTTAAAATTTCTATGGTTTTCATTACTATCTGCTGAAATTTAAAATTTGAGGCATATTATGTTTATACCAAAAGAACAAAGCTGAAATTGTATATGTAATTATCTAATTGAATCATCTTCACAGTATTCACTTGTTTCACAATAAAAGTTGTTCTACAGTGTCACTCATTTTAAACTGTATAACCAGTTTCTTAAGCTACATCATGACTGAGTTGCTAAAGCATTTAAAAATCTCAGTAATATAGGGGTAGAGGTTGAAGCTCTGCTTATTAGTTCATAGTTCACCAACATTTCAGTTATTAGAACTTGCATCTTATATTATTTTTAGCCATACTATTTAAATCTATTATTTTGATCATAAAGGTAATTATGTACCTATCTTTATCTCACTCCTTAAGGTTTCTGCCATAATTTGTTTAATCATTTCCTTGTTTGGACATTTACTTTTTAAGTTTTGAAGTTTTATTCAAACTTTGTATTGAGGATAATAGGCTTGTATGTTATTTTGAGTAATTAACCTTGAGGAAAAAGATACAGTTACAAGAAGATGGAGAAGTATATTGAGTCTTAAGATCCTTAGAGCATTAGCGGTATACTTTGAAGTACCCAAAGAGTTGGTGATACTGACGTTTTGTGGCTAACTTCATTCAAAAGGTTGGCATTCCTTCTTGATGGAGATTTACCACTATTTTAGTCTCATCAGATACTGTCAGTGTCATTAAGAAAAGCACAAAGATTTTCCTGAAGAAACTATCAAGAATTGAAAACAGGAGAAGGAAGAGGGATTGGGGGGTGGGGGAGGGGGAGAGAATTGAAGATTGTGGATGGAATTAACCGAGATTATGAGCTTGCTAGAGAGCCCCAGAGAGAAGGTGGTGGGAAAATGAGGGGTTAGGTAGGAATCTTCACATTCATGCAGACACTTTAGGCACAAGGCATCCTTTTGTTATTTGGAGCCTTTCAGGTGTATGGATTAAAAGGAAGAAAGTGTGTAGCTAGTCAATTATATCAACAGGGAATGTGTAAATCAGATGTTCGAAACTTAAAAAGAGCACTGATTGTGCTTTCCTGCCATTTAGGGAACACCTTTGTAATTACCAATATACCCGGCATATTTAACAGTTTCTTACTTATTTTACCCTTTCTGCATTTATGTCTGTTAGGATCTGAAAAATAGAGATGATAGGATCCACATGTGCCATGTTAAAATGTGTCAATTAATTATCATGGATACTTTGAAAATAAAAGACTTAACAACTATTAATAGTTTGATTTAAGGGACCAGTCTAAGCTTTTGTCCGTTCATAACTTCAATTTATGTTTCTTTTAATAAGTTTCATAGGAGAATTTACAAAGGGGTCCCACTCCAGCTCCGAGGTGAAGTCTGGGCCCTGCTTCTTGAGATCCCTAAAATGAAAGAAGAAACAAGGGACCTTTATAGTGTGAGTATCTGTGCCAGCCTGTTATTTTAGTATTCAAAAGGAAAATTCACTTCTTTTAGCTTTCAAGGTGATGTAAGATATTCATACCATCATTTGAAAGTATATTAAAATGATATTACATTGGGTTTTATAGGCCTATTAGCTGTTTCCTTGATTGTTCTGTTTATTGCAGTCTACTTCCTAAATTTCAAACAAATACTTCAGTGAAAATGTTATTTTCAGTATCAATCAGTAAACATCAAGTGCTTTTCAAATACTTGAAATAATCAATCAATATTGGGGAATATTTGTAAGAAAAATTGACTAAGAGCTGATTGTAGCTGCTTGTTTGCAATGTAGTATTAATATAGAGATTTACATTGTCACTTTTAGAGTTTATGGGGAAATAATAGCAGAATTCAATTTATCTGACAACTGCCTATATATGATTGACTATTATCTTGTAAGTGTGAAAAAGAAGAATTTTTCCTGAAGACTATTAGGGTATCTCTAGATTTTATTATTTATTAATAAAAAGTTAAATTGTGACCCAATGATCAGTAATGTGTTCCTTAAATTAGCTAATGCATTAAATTTACTTCTTTATCATTTCATCTATATCCCTTCTGAATTTAAATTTTATATTAACCTTTGAAAAGAGAAACATCTAAAAATCATTTTGAAATATGTTCCTCAGAAAATGTATATAAGTAGAATAAATTAAAATAGAGTAAATGAAAAAAAGAAAAAAATTTTATAATTTAAACCCAATTTCAATTATAAAAGGGGCATTGGAATGCTCTTTGAATCTTTTCTTTTCTTTTTTATATATATGTAAAATTAAGATTAAAGGTAATAAATACTGCTTAATTTAAAGACATAATCATTTTATATGACTAAAAGATTTTTTAAAATTAGCTGATTGGATCCTACACAATGAGTTTATGTCTCAGTATTGTAGAGTTTCAAATTATTTTAGACTGTTGATTAAAAATTTCTTTTAGTGTCATAGTTGTACAGCCAGTGTTGAAAATGATGTCTGAGGGAGCATATATAAAATATAACCCCAGCCACTTGTAAGTGTACCTGGCCTGTGGGAGAGACTCAGTAAATATTTGTTTAATAAAAGAAGTGAATTACTTCTATTTAGCATGCTGTATTTATTTCCTAGGGCTGACATAACAAAGTACCACAAACTGCTGGCTTAAAACAACAGAAATGTATTTTCTCACAGTTGTGGAGGATCGAGTCTGAAATCAAGGTGTCGGCAGGGCCAGGTTCTCTCTCAGGGCTCTGGGAAAGAACCTTTCCTCACCTCTTCCTAGCTGCTCGTGTTGCCAGCCATCCTTGGCGTTCCTTGGCATTCCTTGGCTTGGAGCGGCTTCACTCTGGTCTCTGCCTCTGTCTTCACATGGCCTCTTCCCAGGGTGTCTCGAGTCTCTGCGTCTCGCCTTATAAGGACACCCGTAATTAGATTTAAGGTCCACCCTTACCCAGTCTGACCTCATCTTAATTTGATTACATCTGCAAAGTCTCTATTTCCAAATCAGGTCTACACAGAATACAATTTTTTCCCAGAGACTGGTTAATGTGAGAGAACCGTTTAGTAAAAGTCAATCATACAATAACAGCAAGAGAAATGACATTGCCACTAAGACTTTCGAGCTTATAATTTTCAACACTATCATAAACATTATTTTTACTATTTGAGTTTCCCTCAGCATCATTATTTAACCAAGTCTTCCTTTCCTGGTCACTCTTTTTTACTCTCCTTTTGCAAAAATGATATAAATTGTTTTCCTCAAGTTGGAAGTTTAGTAAGACTGAAACTACCTTTTCTTACTCTACTAACTTTTTTTCTCAGATCGTCCGGTTGTCCTGACTCCTGATCTGGTCTTGTTATCTGTTCTCCTGTTCTTCTCATTGTATCTCGGTAATTTGTCTCTCTTGCGCTCAGTGATACATCATGTATGTGGTAATGCCTCACCTACAGCCTTAGTGGGGCTTAATAATCTTGTAGGCCAAACCCACAGCGCCAATTTGTCATCTAAATGCTTTCCACAGTACTTCTGCCCTCCGCTTTATAGGTTCATTAGATCCTTTTTCTTTTAAATAAGACGTTTACTCTTATATTATTGTGACACTCATGGATCTCAACCCACCCAGTCTCGGAGATAACTGTAGAAGTGGCTAACCTCCTTTCATTGAGATAAGAAATATGCTTGCTTTCTGGTAAGCTGCACATTAGCTTGTAAACATTCTAGGGCATAAATAATCTTTCTGACCTATTATTTTTTATTGACTTAACTGGGCTTTGTTTCTGTCATGAGGTTATTTTTATGTCAGATTTTCTTGTCTTCTAGAGAAGGTGATATTATAGATGTTTGGGTGTTTTTCTCCCTTTCAACTAAATTTTATTTTAAATCATATTTTATCATGTCTTGTCAAACATTTTCTTTCTGTGTTTCAACATCTTATGTTTTACCAGGAAGCCTGTAGAACAATAATTGAACCTCTTTATTTTATTTTATTTTTTAATTCTTTTTTTTTTTTTTTTAAAGATTTTTTTTTTTATTGGGTAATTGGGGGGATGGGAACAGTGCTGGGGAATTGGGGGAAGGGGAACAGACAAGTTGCTGTCTTTTTGTTCTTCAGTCTAGTTGTGGAGGACGTTGCTTCACTGGCCCAAGTTGGCACCATCATTGCGCTCTTCCCTGGCGAGGCAGATCAGTCGCCGGCTTCTGGACGGCCGCTCACTGCGGCTGCTAGCCGCTCACGCTGGCTGCTGGCTACATACGGTAGCCCACGGCAACCCACTGCCACAGGGACTGCAGCCTATGCCGTCGTCAGCAACTCACAGCAGCCCAGCTCCAGGTTGAGCTGTTGTTCAGCATCTTAGCTGTAGAGGGCAGTGTCACTGGCCCTCATATGTGGGATCCGAACCGGGGCCCTCTGGCATCCCAAGCGAGTTCTCAACCATCGCGCCGCTCGGCCGGCCCTTGAACCTCTTTATTTACCCATTATCTTTTTCCCCCAGATATTTAAAGAACAAATATATAAAGATTATTATTTTTAAAGCTAAATTTTTGTAATGTCTTCTGGCCAACATATATCAGAAATAGCATACAATTTGGTGGTTGTATGATTTCAGTACCATACTATAAATATCTTCCTCTGTCTTCAGAACACTGAAGTGCACTGTGGTTACTCTTTATGTTTTAAAATGCTATAGAAACTGCCCTTCTCTGAGCTCTATCTCAAAACACAAAAATACACATACTCACAAAACGTTTAACATACACATATCCCTGATAGCCTTCTTTTCACTTTTAGCTTAAGTCAGGAATTAACAGTTATGTTCTTATATATTTATTTGGAATTGATTTTAGCAGAAATATGTATTACCAGCACATGGTAAATGAGTCAGTAAAACATATGCTTAATTATACTTAAGCATGGTTAAGTATAAATTAATATAAATTTTGATTTCCCATCTGGTTAAACATGGGAGATTAAACATTTTCATTTAGTGCCCCTTCGCTCTGAAATGCCACTAAATTGACAGCAGAGGGTGTTTTAAAAGGCAAACCCATGAGGAATAGAAAATAGGAGATGAGATAACTGCTGCCAATTTTTGGATCCTGGAACTCAGACATTTAGTAATCTTATCGAACTCGAGAAAACTAATCATAAGCTGGCAGTGAGAAATTGGAGAAGCACCTGATTTTATATTTCAAAATCTCCAACAGACTTAGTAATTGCCAATTGCAGGTACCTCTGGAGGTGGAAGTGAGGCTACAAACAGAAGTGGTTGATAGGCTGTTGCAGAAGCAGTTGGAACCCCTAAGCCCCTCCCCAACCATGGCAGGAGACTGGAGGTTTACTGTTTGGAGAGGGCAGACAGGGTTGTGTATCCCCTCCTCCCTCGCCAAGGGAACACAGACAAAGCTGAGGGTGGGGCTGCTGGAATAAAAGCACACAGGAATCGAGTGTCCTGAATTTGGGGCATTCCAGCCTTTTCCTCCACGCAGCTCCCAGAACTTCGGCAGATCAGAAGAGCCTTCTCCGGGAATTTGACCAACCTAAGAAAATAAACCCAAAGACACTGACTTCAGGGGGACCCCAGTGAAACTGCCCAGCCAGTGAAGACACAGCTGCGAAGCCCCACCTCTGCACCCAGAGCTTTCCACCAGCTTCTTAGTGTCCTGCTTTTAATTATAAGCAGACAATGAAGTCACTATTCATTTGAGGGAAGCAGCTAACACGAAGGACAAAGGAGAACAAATGGAAAAAAGCAACTTGTAAGAAACAGACTATGGCAAAAGGAGAAAACTTAAAAAATACTATCACTAATATCTTCAGAGGAATAAAATAGATATTGCATCCATAAAACAAGTATAGAATGCTATAAAAAGGAACATTTGAGAGCAACAAAGAGCTTATGAATATAAAAATGATAATAGAAAAGAAAGATCCTAGAGGAGGGCTTGAAAATAACAATTAAAGAATTTTCCAGAGAGTAGATCGTAAAGTCCAAGAGATGGACAATAGTAGAGAAAATAAGAGAAAATTAAGTGACAGCCCAGCAGATACCACACGGTAACAATAAGAGTTCCAGAAAGAGAAATTGTGGGGTGGGGGTGGGAGGATGTGGGAGGGGAGGCTGCAGAAATCAACAAAGGAGTTATTAAAGAAAATTTCTCAGAACTGAGAGATGTATGCGTTTTAAGATTGAAAAGATCCATTAAATGCCCAACCCTGTGGATAAAAACAGATCCATACTAAGCACAGAAATGTGAAGTTTCAGACATGGAGAAAGAAACTCCCACAAGCTTCTAGAGACAAAGCAGACATCATATAAAGAAGCAAGAATGAGAATGGCAACCCTGGAAACTAGAAGACAGCAAAGGCAGTGCCTTTGGACCAAAAATATTTTCCAACTTAAAATTCAAAATAACCAAATAGTTAAGAAAGAAGGTAGCTATCAGACATTCAAAGTTTCAAAAAAAAAATGTATCTTCCATACACCTTTTCACAGGGGCTACCGGAGGATGTGCTCCTCCAGAACAAGGGAGTAAACCAGGAAAGAAGAATGAGATGCAGGAAACAGGGGACCCAAACAAAGGGCAGCCCAGCAGATGGTGAAGGGACGCCCCGAAGACACCAGCTGTGCAGCTGCCCAGACCCGAGCAGTCCAGAGAGCTCTGGGAGTGATGTCTGCAAAAAACTGAAACTGGGAGAATACCCCTTCTATCTGAACATTGTCAGAGGGGACTTATGCAACTGAAAGTGAGTTTGGGATTCAGTCAGTGACAACTGTGTAGAAAACAAGCAAACCAAGCAATAATGCAGTGATCAGCTCCAAGGAAAATGGAAATATTGTGCTGGGAAGAAAAAAGAAGGCGCAGTGGGCCGCTTGGCACAGCCGTGAAGAGCTTTTACCTAGTCACAGCGCTGCACGTTGCGAAACGTTCCCTATCCAAAGTTAAAATCTACCTCTGCTGACAGGATAGGAGGGCAAAGAGGTGGAAGGAGGAGGGAGTAGGAGAGACGGGCATGGATGAGGGAAAACTCCTTTCATGGTGCGCCTTATTGTTTTCATGTCTGAACCATGGGAATGGTTTCCCTAAACCAAAGGAACTTTATCAATGAGAATTATTTCACTATTTGTCATAGACTCTTCAACTGATTTTCATAACAATGTGCTTTCTCCCCCTCTTTTTCCTCTTCAGAAATTAAAACACAGAGCACGGGGCTGTTCACCTGATATCAGACAAATAGACCTTGATGTCAACCGTACATTTAGGGACCATATTATGTTTAGAGACAGATACGGTGTTAAGTAAGTAAAGTTTCATGTTTATGCAGTGTAAATAGCATTTGTAAATAGTCTGTATCCAAGCCTTTATTAATTCAAAATGTGAGTGTTTAGAATGTCTTGCATAGACTATAATTTTGACTGAGGTCCTAAGGTTTAAGCTTTTGAAGGTCAGTTGGTCCATGTTGTGTGAAACTTAGGTCCTAATTTAACTTAAATTTTTAAAATTTTGACAGACTTGGTGCTATAAAATTGGTAGAGAGTCATATTATGATTTGGGAATTCTTAAAAATATAGTAGGTACTTCTTTTTAAAGTCTTAGAAAAGAAATTAGAGATTGTGTTGCTTTTCGAGAACCATGTCAGCGATAAATAATATCTGTGACCTTGATCCCTGGCATAGATGAAACTAAAATAAGGGGGGCGGGGAATGAATGAATGAAATGACTATGAGAGTTTATGAATGAAAGGTACAGTTTTGCTGACCTCTGTAGTGGTTAGGATTCAACCAGAAAAACAGAAACCGGTAAGAGATAGCTATTAAGAATTATTGAGAAGAATTGGCTTACACAGTGGTGGGGGCTGACCAGGTAAGCCTGAGGTCACAGGGCAGGCCACCTGGAGGGGCAGACTGGGACTCGGGCAGGAGCTGAAGCTGTTGCCCACAGGAGGGATTTCTTTAAGGAAGCCATAACTCTCTGCTCTTCACCCTTTTCACAGAATCAGGCCTGCCCAGGCTATCTAGGGTGACCTCCCCTACTTAAAGTCAACTGATTAAGGATTGTAATTGCATGTACAAAATACCTTCTTTACAGCAACACCTAGATTAGTGCATGAATAATTGGGTATTGTAGCCTAGCCAAGTTGACAAATAAAGCTGACCTTCACAGTCCACCCTGGTCAATTTAACTTCTAAAGTATAACAAAGTCATGCTTCACACAACTTGATACAGCTGCTCTGCCTATGACTGAAAACGTGTTAACCCTTTCCCCACATCTTTGGGTGATGTCCCAATCTTTGGGTGATGTTCACGCTTCTGCTTTGATATCATACAACTTAATTACTATGCTGCAAAGTTAATTATTATCAATGCAGCTTATGTAAGATGGTAAGGGAAAAGAGAAGGAAGAAAATACAATGTTTTTAACATGTATACATATACCAAAGTAAGGAAGTACTGTTTATACTCATAATGTTTATAGTCATCATTTCTGCGACTGGGCATGTGGTCGTAGCTGGCTTGCTGCTCCCTCTCCACTACCCATTCCATGTTCCATTTGCCCTCAGCTGGTTGTGGTTCTCTACCTGGTGGGGTGGGTGAGCTACACCTTTATTCCTAAGGGGTCTGCACCATTAGCAGTCCTGCCTGAACTAGATTGTTGTGGTTTTCCATTGACTTCCATCACAGGGTTTGGTAGTAACTAAGAGGCACCCTGAATGTTCTCCTGTATTTTAGACATTCTCTTCCTCACATCCATTGTGTAGTGGCAGCTCACTTACTCCTGAGTATCAGGGTCCGTCACCCAGCAAGTACTGTCACCTCCTTCTTTGCCTGCTGATTCAGACATGAGGAGCCCAAAGTGGCCGGTGGCAGCCTCACTTCCAGTTCAGTAGAATGCCTGTGTCTCCTAGTAGAAGCATATCTCTTTGGAGCTAAGTACGTCCATGGGTTCCGGGAAAGAAGCATTTGCTAGTGGAGTACCCTGGGTAACAGTGGGTGGGGCCTCTCCCTTTCCACCCCTGCCTCCCAGCTATGGGAGAGACAGCCGCATCTATTGGAGGCTGATGGACACGCACAGCCTCCTGGGGGCGCTGCTCAGACCTGCTGGGTACTGTACCCAGCGGGCACTGTGACAGGCTCCCAAAGCCCGTTCCACCATTCTGTCAAGCCAGCTGCTCCTGTGAGAAAGAAGCTAAACCCCAGAGGCCAACAGATTTAAGTAATTGTGAAGCCCTTTATGATTTTGGTATAAATCCTTTCTATGAAAGTGAATGTTATCTAGCCTCAAATTTAGAGTATTGGTTAAATTCGAGCTTGGTATCATTTTTTTATTATAATAGCAATTGTATCTGGATAATTTATTTTCAGTCTACCTGTTCATTTTTTTTTAATTTTTTATTTTTAAAAATGTGTGAAATAACTGAGTTGTGTTAATGTAAATTTTCTTTTCTCTAGGCAACAATCTCTATTCCATGTTCTTGCTGCATATTCTATTTATAATACGGTAAGTCGGAGCCTGCCTGCCCACAGCTCTTTGAGTTGTCTCCTGAGGAGTCGGAGGAACCTTTCAGCACTCCCTTCCTACCACGGCCCTTTGGGCCGCATTTCCTCACCTCAGGCCTGGATGGCACCGCTGTCTCGTGTGCTCTGTGGGCCTCTGCAAGGCACCTGTTGTAACCCTGGGCCTTAGAGCAGAGGGGGCTGGAGTGGGAAGACCACGGCACGCCAGCAAATCTCACTTTCCCTTCTCCAGACTGCTTGTTTTATTATTCTCCTGTTTTGTTTTGTTTTTTAAGTGGTGAAAGAGCAGTTTATTAGAGGAAAAGTACACTCCCAAGGGGTAGGAGTGGGCCTGAGCAAAAAGAGTGGCTCAAAAGGCCTGTTTTGTTTTTATTTTAAGCAACTAGGATTGGGAACCAGCAGGGCGAGAAGCACAGGAAGTTGGTGGCTAGATTAATTTTTGCTTGACTCAGAGTTACATTTTATCCATTCATTGAGGTGACACCAGGATACCACTTGTGCCTACTTGATAGCCCTGAGAGCAGGCTAAAACTAACCTTTCTGGTCATGGAACATTCATCATTCTGGGGGAGATGATAATTTGGGGAAGGGTCAGTTAGGGTTGAACCTAATTTGGATGTTAGATAAGTGCTTGTTGACTAGGTAGGTTCCAGGGAGGACAGCCTTGAACCTTGGATTATGTGCTTTCCATTGTAATTAAAACCTTTAAGTTACAAGGGACAGAAATTCTCGAACTAGGGCAAGTTAAGAAGGAGTTTATTCAAGGACCTTCTCACAGAAATGAAGCAGAAGCTGGGCCTCAATGGAGTTGGACCTGGCAAGTGAGACGCCATCAGCGAAAGGAACTACCATTTTGTCGCTTCCATTCTGGGGCCACATGTTGACTCTGATTATTGCTGTGACTGCTTATTCCACTGTTTCTCTCTCCAGATTGCTTTCTTTGCCTACTTATCACTGTTTCCATGGCTAAAACTGCGCCCGTAGCCTTACTGTGATCTCTAGAACATGAATCGTGCCATGTTCTGTTCAAGTGCACACCGTCTGATAGTCCCTGGCTTTGTTCACATTTCCTAGAGAGTTTGTGATTAGTCAGTGCAGGCTGTTCATTGGTTCCCTGGGGTCAGGTGTCCTCTTCTGCTCCATCAGCTTTGGTTCATGTGGCTCCACCATGTATTCCTAAGGCCACCTTATACACGGAGACTATGGGGGGAGTGGATCGGTGTACCCAAGCGTCTACATAAAGGCCCAGAACCGAGAGGAGACCAGACAAGGAATTGGGGCCTATAGGAGAGAGATTTGCCAGCATCTGAGCAAAGAAGAGGTATTTTGGGCTGAGAATCACACATAAAAAAGAAACAGCAGCTATTAGCTCTCTTGACAGAGGGTATAACAGTATGGGACAGGGGACAATAAAAATATACATGTAGGTGTAGACTCTGTCCACACCTCTACATTTATTCTTGAACACAGTTTTATTTTATAGTGAGTGAGTGGCTCAATGGTATACAGATTGTACTGTTTTCTACAGAATTGCTCATTAAATAATGTGGTTAGGCATTCTGTGATAATTTTACGGGTCAGTTTGGGTATGTGCATATGCATGTAATTTGATCTAAAGTCCTGGTTTCTTTGTTCTCATTTACTCCATAGGAAGTTGGATATTGTCAGGGGATGAGCCAGATCACGGCTTTGCTCCTTATGTATATGAATGAAGAAGACGCCTTCTGGGCCCTGGTCAAACTCTTCTCAGGCCCCAAACACGCCATGCATGGTAGGAAAACCCCAGAGTTTATCATAAACAATAAGCAAGGGGGAGAAGAAAGGTACATGAAACACAGACTATGGAAGATGCTTGATAGAGCTCAGTACAAAAACTTCATATCTCGGGGCTCGTTCAGTGATTAGTCTTTGTTAATAATTTCTTATTTCATTCTTAATTGAACTTTTCTAAATTTTTCTGTTCGCATTTATAGCCCTTTGTGTTTACCCTACAATATGCTTTTGGCATTTAAAAATTCTTTCCTTACTTGCCTGTGAGTTAGAAGAGACTAGGTTTGGAGGAATTTAGGAAAAACTATTATTGGGAGAAATAAAAGATAACCTTTTGATTAAAACTTTTAGACAGTCATGCAGTTATCATTTCAGTGAAATGTTTATTGTTGATTGGATATTGTAATGTATAACTCTTTGTCAAAGAATATTAATTGAGAAATAACACAGTATTTAAAGAACAGGTACTGAATCATTAAGTAGTTTTGTATTGCAAGTGTGTGTTTTAGTTCTTTCAGCCGTAAAATCGATTCCATTGTACATGAAAGGCTGTTAACTCCTCTGGGCACTTTATTATTTAATATTTCAAAACTTGCATAATGTTTTGTTTTCAAGTTAGAAGATTGTTTTTAATAACCTTTTCCGTATTATATTTGCCAAGCATATGCAATAAACTTTATTTTAGAGAGCTTGGATTGCAACTTGTCTTGGAAATACAGTGACATTTGTCTGTATAATGCAAAATTATTTTCCCAGTGCCATCATATTATAGTACCAAATTAAAAACAAAATTCAATACTAATCACTCTAGGAACAGATCATCTAAGGTCTGTTTGTGAATAATTTAAACTTTATGTGGTGGGGAACCACAAAAAGTGATATTTTAACATTTTCAAATTATGACCTCCTATAGTCCATAGTTGATTAAATCTCACAATCTTACCATGTGGTTTTTGTGGGGATATTTTGTGTGTGTGGTATGTGTGTGCACACTTGTGTGTGTTTGCATTTGGCTGTCTCAGTGTTCCTTGTAAAAAGTTTTTTTAGTAAATACTGCTGCATAACTGTTTCTGAACAATTTGTACCCCATAGACTCCCAAAGAAAGACACATTATATCGAACTGCCATTATAATAGACAGTATCATTTAAAAAGGCATCTTAAAAAGTAACTCTGGGAGCAGCTGCTTAGCTCAGTGGGTTAGAGTGCAATGCTCTTAACACCACGGTTGCTGGTTCGATCCCCACAGGGGCCACTGAGATGCGCCCTACACAACTAGATTGAAACAACTACTTTACTAGGAGCTGATGGGTCCTGGAAAAAAACACTGTTCCTCAATTAAAAAAAACAAACATTTATAAAAAAAATAATAATAAAAACTCTGCCTCATATCAGTCCTTATTTTGCTTTACCATTAGTGCTGCTGATGTATGTCGAAGTACAATGGAATATGACAGTTTAAGTAGTACGTAATTATGTGGCAGACTGCCCGGTTTTAGGAAAGTCTTTTCCTTTAAACATATCTGATAACTTACTTTCAGCAATTATTGTCACCAGTCTAATCTATAAATTAATGTTAATTTTACTGCCCTAACATCTACAGTGCAATTTTGGTCATTACTAGGGGTAAATTTGTACTTAGAGATATTTGTTTCTAGGTCTGCTTATGAAATTTTAGAAGTAAAGCTTACCTCAGTTCTTTGCATTTCCTATATAAAAGTGGTATGTATCACTTACAAATGTATAGAATAAAGTGAGGGCTGAAGAAAATAAGATTTAAAATATCTAATAAGTCTGGGCTATCACTGAAAAGTGAAGAAATACATATTAGGTATCTTAGCAGCCTTAAGCTAGTATTTACTGCTGAAGGGCATTGCTTCTTTCAAAATCACACTTTTTTCTTGACATTCTTCTAATTCACGTTCCTCTCAAATTGACCATGAAAGTGGCACAGAGAGATATGGAATTTTTTTTTAAAGATTTTATTGGGAAATTGGGGGAGGGGAACAGACAAGTTGCTGTCCTTAGGTTCTTCAGTCTAGTTATGGAGGAGGCCGCTTCAATGACCCATGTTGGTATTATCATTGCGCTCTTCCCGGGTGAGGCAGTCCCTCGCCGGCCACTGGACAGCTGCTCACAAAGCGCATGCCAACTGCCGGCCAGCCCCACTGCAGCCTATGCCGTCACTGGCGACTCACAGCAGCCCAGCTCCAGGTTGAGCTGTTGTTCACCATCTTAGCTGTAGAGGGCGTAGCATCACTGGCCCTCATGTGGGATCCGAACCGGGGCCCTGCTGCTCAGAGCCAGCACTCCCAAGCCGACTCTTAACCAGTGTGCCACTCGGCCGGCCCCTGGAATTATTTTTATGAAATCATTTCACTGGAAAATATTACTAGAGGAGGAATAGAAACTCTGTCTCTGGAAATTTTTCACACACTTTAGAAAACTGAGAATTAGTTAAGAAACAGTCCTTCCCCAAAGATGATAAAGCAATATTTACAACTAGTGTGTTCCTTGGGTTCTCAGTGGAACATAGTTTCACCTTTTGGAAACAGCTGTTTTGTGGAGAAAAAATGAAATCCAAAATCATATAAGTTTGCGAGACTGAGTTAATTAAAAATTAGTTTCTTTAGTCTATAAAACAACTTAATAATGTTAAGAAGCTCATACCCAAGGAAGGGTATGTATAACATACAGCATTTCCCCTGGATTCTTTTTATAAACACAGAACATCTATTAACATCTTTTAAAGTTACATAGAAACCAGATTGTTAAATACTAATCTAGAGAAATGATAAAGCCACTGAGTATATGTCCTTTTAATGGATTGTGTAGAATATCTGAAAGGAAACTTGTGAATAAAAATAGATATAAAGTTCCATGAGTTAAATGCACAAAATTAATAATAACTGACCATTTAGAATTGGTTACCATCTACAATAGAAATCTTATTTATATATTATATTGTATAATCAGTGGGGATAGAATATAATTTTTGATGCAACAGTGATCATATAGTGCTAGTACATTTTAGCTGATGTTAAATATCACTTATAGAACATATTAAAAAAATGTTAAAAACTTTGGAAGTATGATACTAATGAAATTGTTAGAGTAAGCCTGAGAAAAGTAATAAAATGTTTGTTATGTGATGTACTAATAGTAAAACAAAATGACAAAAAATCAAGATTAGAATAACTTATAAAAATTGACATATTTAAGATATGGCCCAATACTTTAAGAGAACATATAATCTTAATAAATGCTTTCAGTTTTTATTTTTCCTTAGCTTCTTAGTTTTCCTTTTAATTCAGAAATATTCTATCCTCTTTTATATTTGTAGAAGGTTACAGAAAATCTTTAGAATACTAGGCTACATTAACCAAAGCTTATCTACAATTATGTTTTTGGTGGGGAGGAAAAATATTTTGGTTAACTACTGGATTTGTTTGTTGTTGACAGTTAAAAATCAAAGAAATACGTTGCATTTTAAGATAGGGATTTTTGTTGATATTGTTTATGAAATATTATTTTTATGTTTGTATTCTAGGCTTTTTTGTCCATGGTTTTCCTAAACTCTTGAGGTTTCAAGAACATCATGAAAAAATACTGAATAAATTTCTGTCCAAGCTTAAGCAGCACTTGGTAGGTAGATGTGGCACTGACTTACCCCCTCGTATACCAAGAATAAAAAACTAGGGGAATTGAGTGCAGCCTTCGGTCTCAATCGCCTAATTGATTTATCGTGTTGTCCATCTCATTTACAATGCAGTCATAACTCCCAGTTGTTTAAAGAACATTGTATTTGTGAAATTTAATATTGGTGAACTATCACAGCCCTAACTCAAACTTCTTTCAAGCTGATATATACAAATAGTATAGCTTTTAAAGATATATGATATTTCAGTAATTTTGGAGGTGTTTTTTCATTGCACCAAAAATATTTTAAGGGTAATACAGACTCATCCTTTGTGAACCATATATAAGCTCTATGATAAAACACAGTAGTTTAGTAAAGCAAAGATATTTTAAAGTATATTAAAGAGAATCAAAATGTTGTATTACAATCCTATCATAAAAAGGATTTGGTTTTCAAAAGTATAATTTAGGGAGAACAAGAGGAAGTAACAAGAGAAAAAATAGAAATACACCAGCATGAAAAAGACTTGTAACAAAATGCTTTTTACGTTTAGCTTTGACAACTACCTCCTACAGCCTAACTTAGTATTGTGTGTTATATTTTGTTTGCTGCAATCCAGAAATTGTGAAGTCTTTGTTTTTTCAGGACTCTCAAGAAATCTTCACAAGTTTTTACACAATGAAATGGTTTTTTCAGTGTTTTCTTGATCGTGTGAGTATTTATTTATGAAACCCAGTCATAAAATTATAAATACCAGACAGGGCAGACTATTAATCTTTTTTCTGTTTCGTTTTTAATTATAGACTCCCTTTACACTAAACCTCAGAATATGGGATATCTACATCTTTGAAGGAGAACGAGTTCTTACTGCTATGTCTTACACAATCTTAAAATTACACAAAAGTAAGAAAATGTTTAACTATAAAGATTTTACCAAACTGTAGCCCAGTTTTAACTCTGATTTCTTATTCCCCACTCAACTTCATTTCTTTTAATAATGAGTCAAAAAGAATTCTTTAAAACCAGTGAAGAAATGATCTTCAGTTGGTAATTTATTTTCATTGATTCTTAGGACTGGACGCTTACTACACTGCAAAGGCCTTTGATTCTTGTCCCTATATCAGTTTATTTTCATACTTAGGAGGTAGGATGCAGCGTGTTGGTTTTGCTAACAATATTAGACTTATCACGTATTTGTTTCCACTGGGACCCTCTTATTCTTTCCATAATTCTGAATCTCAGGTTTGTAATAGGAGAAGTGAGAGACCAAGGAGAAGTGAGAGACGAAAGAAATCAGGTGACTTCGCTAAAAGCCCTGGAGAGGCCATGCTCCATTGCTGTTTCCTTTATCCAGGAAAACAGCATCCAGCTCCAAGCCGTAGACCAGTATAGGTGGGGAACCTTCAACTCATCTCTCTGCTGGGCTGTGCTATGGCCTCTGGGGCAAGTACAGCCCATGTCTGTAGCCGCCTCAATGCAACAGTCTGTAAAAGTCTGCAGTTGTGCTATTTCCAGGGCTCTGCAAATTTGATGTGCTGTGCCTTACTTTAAAATCAAGAAATGAACATTTTTCTTCATGAAATGAAGAACTTTACTCATCTTAAAGTCTCAATTCAACCTTAAAAATTATGTGACTCCTTTGTGACGATACAGAGAAGAGACGCACAAAAAGCTGTAGAGCTGCATGTGGCACTTGTGATCTGGGTCACACAACCTAGTTTCACGTTCACGGTACTCCTCTCTTAGGTTATTCTTGGATGATTCATCTGCTCAGTTTCCTAACTAAATTATAAGCCAATTGAGGACTTGGGGTCCTGTTTTGCAGCTGTGCTAGGTGTTTTGCTACGTACATGTTAGGTACTTTAATATAAGACTGATCGCTTACGTGAGAAGCGTGGACTTCACAAGCACGGGATGATTCGAGCTTTAGACAGGAAGGAAAACTCCTGTAAACTCATGTTGTACTGTTTACTCTGAAAGACGGGGGTTCACAAGTGCTGTGGTTCGTTTCCCTCACATCCAAATCCTTATGGCCCCAACACACAAACCACAGCGCCCAAACCAAACAATCGCCAATGAAGTGTCTCTGCAATATGGTCATATAACCACAGGAGAGCCATCGATTAGTCTTTCTCTCATCTCTCTCTCTCCCCCTCCCCTTTCCTTGTTTTCTCTCCTTCTGGATTATGAACTGACCAAGATACAGAACAAAACCACAGTTTTTATTAAGATACATACTTGTTAGTGTAATGTCCCCTAAACCTGAGAAGTAGCAACATGGTGTTCTATTTCTCCATAGCTCTCTTTCTCCCTCTTAAAGTATGTTTTACTTACATGACTCTTGATTAATTTTGACAAGTAAAGAGTTTCTTCACCCTTTGTAAATAATCTTTAAGCATAACAATTACTTTATAGGCTATCATTTCATTAGACCAAATAAGCTGTGGGAAAACTATCTGTCCGCTACTGTGTATTTTTTCTTAGTTAGGAAGAGAAAACTCCAAGACGTACAGGAAGGTCCTGCATCACCATATAAAGCTCCAGAAACTGTCTGGGCGCCTTAACCAATAGTTAGCTGAAGCTCCCAAGTTTTTTCCTTGTTTTTTTCCCACCTTAACATTGTTAAGAGACATTTTTACTGGAGGCTCACCACACAGTGGTTGTAAATAGCAAAAAAAATAGAAACAACCTAAATGCCAATATTGAAAGACTGATTAAATTACAGTGTATACCTACAGTGGACTCATATAGTTAATAATGATGGTGTAAAATTATATTTGTTGAAGTGAGATATCAGGGATATACATTATTGAGTGGGTAAATGAGGTGAATAACATGGAAAGTATAATTTATTTTTAAAAATTGATACATATGTACACAAATCTATTTGTAGGGCAGTGGCTAGTAGAATCTTAGCTGATTTTTACTTTCTGTTTTGTATCTGTAACTTGAATTATTTTCCAATAAAATGAATTTCATGAGTAGAAATATAAATAAAATTAGTAATCCAGATTGGTTTTTTCAATTCTGAAACAGTAAAAATATAGACCTATCAGAAAATATTTTGGTCTTACTGAATTTCAGTGATATTCACAATGCCATATTCAATTTGTTTGCTGTGCCCTTTTCAAAAAATACTACACCAGAATAGACTACATTATCTTTTAAACCTAAAGTAGCTGTTGACATAGAATTTTTATTTCTGTCATCCTTTCTTAGAACATCTAATGAAACTGTCTATGGAAGAACTCGTAGAGTTTCTTCAGGAGACCTTGGCAAAGGACTTTTTCTTTGAAGATGATTTTGTAATAGAGCAACTTCAGATTTCTATGGCAGAACTAAAGCGGGCAAAATTAGACCTTCCAGAACCTGGTAAGAAATATGCAAACACTTTATATCTAAATTATAATTAACATTGGAAGACATGGCACAATTAACACAGGCCATTTCTATTTCAGAACACAAACATTGTGCATACTTGTGATGACCTAAATCAATGTCTTACCAGCTGTTTATGACTTTATTCTTATTTTAAGAAAAAGCAAATTCACGTATTAATTAAATCTGTCTATCCTAATAGAATAACTGTACTCTTCCTACTTAAATTTAGAGTTTGGGTGACAAGTAATGTTGTTCAACAGAAGTAACCATGTCACTTTAAAGTGGCATAATAAGCACTTTTTATTTTCATCATTTCAATTTGTGGAACCATGTGCAATAGCAGAGCAAGTGAAAACCCCGTTTTACAGGAGAGGAAACTGGTACTAAAATGCGTAACTACAATGCGACAGAACCAGCAGATAGCATTATGGACACTAGAGTTCAAGTTTCCTGACTACTAAGCCGGGGCTCTTTATCGCATGTTGCACTGTAGATAATATACTTTATTGACTTATTTCAAGACTTCTTCCAGGACCTCCTTTTAGGTTTTCTGCTAGGTGCCGTGCTGGGGGTTAGCAATGGAAAGGAAAGACATGCTTCTTGCTCTCAGGTTGCGTGCAGAAGAGATGGAATTAACAAAGATCAGTAGGTGGTGAAGGGTAATAACAACACCATCCAGGATGCAGGGGAAGGACCCGTGTCGGGGAGAGGGAAGGAGGAGGAAAATGTAGAAACATCGTTAGGAAGAGCTTGACCAGATATTACTTGACAGTGATTTCCTGAGAAGAAGTTATTCTGCCCTTTTCTTTGTTCACCTTTGTTGTGTGGATGGGTGTGGGAAGGGAGTGGGCAAGTGGAGGATCATGGGTGAGAGGTGAAAAGTAAGCACGTCAGTTAGGTATGCCTTCAGGTGGAGTTGGATTTAGCACTTCCAGTCGATGTGGCACATACTTTGATGTCTTCTTGGATGTGTGTGTGCAGTCCAAGCAGAAATACATTCATGGAAAACACATCTTTCCCCCTTTGGTAAAAACCAAGATGCTTGGCTTCTAGTTATTTAATTGCAAGGGTTCTGGTCACTAGTGTTTCTTGGAGGTTGTTCTGTGTCATCAGGAGTCACTAGAAAACAAGCCATCACAGCAGTGATCAGGTGTGGGCATGGCCCTGTGAAACCATCACCTTTGCTAAGTGAGGTCAGCCCCCTCCTTTTAGCAGAATAATGTCCATTTGCTACTGGTTCTTTCCTGTAGCAGGGGGTGCATTTGGAACGGAGGTGCTCACTGCATTCTTGCCACTTTAATGTTAAGTATCTTGCCTACTTTCAAAAAGAGTTTAAGACAAGGGCCGGCCGAGTGGCGCGATGGTTAAGAACTCGCTTGGGATGCCAGAGGGCCCCGGTTCGGATCCCACATATGAGGGCCAGTGACACTACCCTCTACAGCTAAGATGCTGAACAACAGCTCAACCTGGAGCTGGGCTGCCGTGAGTCGCTGGCGACGGCGTAGGCTGCAGTCCCTGTGGCAGTGGGTTGCCATGGGCTACCGTGTGTAGCCAGCAGCCAGCGTGAGCGGCCAGCAGCCGCAGTGAGCGGCCGTCCAGAAGCCGGCGACTGATCTGCCTCGCCAGGGAAGAGCGCAATGATGGTGCCAACTTGGGCCAGTGAAGCAGTGTCCTCCACAACTAGATTGAAGAACAAAACGACAGCAACTTGTCTGTTCCCCTTCCCCTAATTCCCCAGTACTGTTCCCATCCCCCCAATTACCCAATAAAAATCTTAAAAAAAAAAAAAAAGTTTAAGACAAGTTTTAGTAAAAGATACATAGAAGAAAAAATGCATCGAGCAGTACTGCTTAAACATGACAATAAAATATCAAAGCCCATGTAACTCGGCATCTAACTAGCAGCTAATATTTGTTGAATGCGTATTCAGTGCCATCTACCAGCTCATTTACTTCCTAAACATAACTTGAAGGGAAAGTAGTCACTCATTTTACACATGAGGGATCGTGTTGTCTTTGTAAGATCTTTTCACAGGAAATGGTAGAATGGGGATGGAAAGCGGAGCGGGGTAAGAGAGGGATAGATCAGTAAGACTGGAAGCACTGGCCGCGTTCGCCCTGACCCACTGGCAGGTAAGGGCGGACATGGTCGGGGCCTCACTCTCTAGGACGGTAATGTCTCCTCTGCATTTCTGCTGCTACATTTACTTTCTGGACTTTTTACCCCGCAGCCTGCCAGTTGTTTTCCTCTTTACGTTATTGTGAGCTGTATATGGAGTATTAAAGTAATTAGAACATTATAGTAAGAAATTTTCGTATCTTTCATTTTAAAATGATAGGTTATTTATGTTTGGCTCCTTATATACTGAATGAGTTTGCAGTCTCACTGGTAATGTTTGCCGGAGCCTGGTGTTAGACCAACATGTACACATGGTATTGTTACATTTTTTACTTTTTCTGTTGGTTGGATAGAGTATTCCATTGTTGTTTTGATTTGCATTTCTTTCATTTTTATCGGGTGTCTTTTGTATGTATTAAATTGGTATTTTAATTTCTTTTTCTATAAACTTTCCTGTTCATCTTCTGCCCATTTTTCTATTGGTCTATTTATACAAGTTCTTGGTAAGTTAAAGGATTGGCTAGTTTAATATATGTGTTGGAGACACTTTTCATGTAGAATTTTAAAATTCGTAATCTGTCTGTTTCTTTATGGTCTCTCAGTTTTGTGTCTTGGGTAAAGAATTTTCCACATACTGAATGAAAACTTTAAAAAATCACTCATATTTTCTCCTATAACATTTATGTTTTATTTTTTATGCATAAATCTTTAGTCCATCTAGAATTACTTTTTGTGTATAGAAGGATGTAAGGACTTAACTTTGCTTGTAGTCCAAATAACTAGCCATGTTGGCCTAACAGCCTCTTGCAATTTGAGATGCCTTCTTTGTCATGTAATAAAGTCCCCAAAATGTCTATATGTGCATCTTGGCATTTTATTCTGTTCCACTGATCTGTATGTTTATAGTTACAAGCAATTTTAATATCTGTTGGGGCTAATTTCTCCTCATTACTTTGTCAAGTTACAAAAAAAGAATCTGTTCATATTTTAATTCAGATTGCATTGAATTGAGAGATTATTGAGAGAAAATTGGTATTTTAAGAGAATGGGTTTTTCGAAGTAGAAACTTTTACTTTTCAATTGTTTAAGTTTACCTTTAACACCGTTGAATTTGATTTCTTCATTTGACTGTTACACATTTTTTTATCTATCCACATCAACCCCTATTCCTATAGATAATTTTATCTTTCTTATTGCTAGTATAAGGTGAAATTCCCTTCCATTTTTCTTCTAACTGGTTAGGAAAACTTTTGGTATATATACACGGAGTATGTTAATTAACTTCGCGAACTACTTACAACAATGTTGCTAACCTTTTTTGATATCAGAGGATTATTCATTATGAATTTGTACCAACTGGTCAAACCGTTAACCAAGTTTACTATTTGGAAGTGCTGAAGAGGCTGCGTGAACAAGTTAGACAACTTGAACTTTTTATCAACAGTTCATGGCTCTTGCGTCACGACAGTGCACCAGCTCACATGGCACTGTCTGTGAGGGAGTTTTTAGCCAGTAAACAAATAACTGTATTAGAACACCCTCCCTACTCACCTTATCTGGCCCCCAATGACTTCTTTCTTTACCAAAGATAAAGGAAATATTGAAAGGAAGACATTTTGATGACATTCAGGACATCGAGGGTAATACAGTGACAGCTTTGATGGTCATTCCAGAAAAAGAGTTCCAAAATTGCTTTGAAGGGTGGACTAGGTGCTGACACCAGTGCATAGCTTCCCAAGGGGAGTACTTCAAAGGTGACCATAGTGATATTCAGAAATGAGGTATGTAGCACATTTTCTAGGGTGAATTTGCGAACTTAATTGTCCGATCTCATATATAGGGTTCAGTACTATCTTCAGTCTTGGAATGTATTCCACACAAATAAGGGTTGGGGGCACAACTGTATTTTCTCAGAAAGTTGTTCACTTCCAGTTTCTGAATGTATTTTTATAAGATTTTGCAAAAACCTTTTGAAACATACAAAAGTAGAAAAAATGTTGAAGACCCTCTCTCAGTCTTTATTCTTCACCCAGCTTACTGAGTCATTTTAAAGTAAAAAGAAAGATATCATAAATACTACCTAAATACTAATAATGCGTACTTTAGTCTCTGTGTCCAAGAAACAAAGACGTCTTTCTGGCAAACTACAATACCATTATCAGACCTAAAAATTAATATAATTCCCAAATATGATCTGTAGACCAATTCCATATCAAAATTTGTTCTTGGCACTTTTTCTTAACCAAAGATCTCACTTGGTATCTGTTTGATATGCTTCTTAAGTCTCTTAATATGCAACAGTCTCATCTTCTTCCTTACTTCCCACTCCAACCTTTTATTTTTCTCTTTTTTTCTTGTTGACGAGATCAGTTCTGTAGCCTTGTGGAATGTCCCACATTCTGTAATAGTCTAACTTTTCTTTCTTGCAGTCATTTAACTCATTCCTCTATCCTCTATATTTTCCATAAGCTACAAGTTAAATGTAGATGTTTAATGATTAACATTCAGATTATTCAGGAGGTAGGTATATAATGTCTAGTTTTATTAATATTAGTGATACTGAATTTAAACTCTGGGTAAAGGTGGTGATAACCAGATCTCTTTATTTTAAAAATAAGATTTTTCTTTAAAATTACAAAACTTCTCAATTAGTAAATAATTTGTGTCATAATGTGTTGACATTGTACAGATATGCAGTTTCCTTTTCATCTTTCCTCTGATGGTTTTTGCTCCCATTGATAATCCTTGTCTAAAACAAGTATTTCACTAGAAGTTGCAAAATAATAATTTTCGCATACTATTATTTCTTTTACATTTATCAGTAGGTTTTTTCCTGTAACAAAGAGTTTCCCCCCTTCATCAACAGGGGCTCT